CACTTAGTCACTAGACCTTTCTCCGAAGTGGTTTTGCCACTTTCCACCCCCACTAGGAGCAGTGTGTGGGCCCTTCCTGCCCCACATCCTCACAGACACCGGGTGGCGCTGGCCTTTAGCTTCAGCTTTCTGAGGTGGGGTGTGCTGTCCCTTTATGGTTTTGATTTGCATTTCTCGGAGGACTGCAAGCTGAGCGTCTTTTCTTACTTGCCATTATATTTCCTCTTTGGTGAAGTTTCTCTTCCAGTCTTCTCCCCAAAAATCAAGTTTTTGTCTCTTTATTAAGTTGTAAGAGTTCTTTATTTTCTCAATACAAGTTCTTTTAATATAGAGATATTTTCTCCTAATCTACAACTTGTCTTTTCATTTTCTCAGTGGTATCCTTCCAAGACCAGAAATTTTAATTCTTGTGAAATGCAAACCCATTTTTTTTTTCTGGTTCTTTTTGTGTCTTAAGGAAACCTTTGCATTTCCTTTATTATGAGTAAGGCTGTGCATCTTTTTTTCTGTCTAAGGGCCATTTGCTTATTTTTTCTGAGAACTGGCCATGTCTTTAGCCACTTTTTAAAAATTTGGTCTATTGGTCTTTCTCTTCTTGATATTTATTTATTTGAGACAGGGTCTCACTCTCTGTTGCCCAGGCTGGAGTGCAGTGGTGCATTCACAGCTCACTGCAACCTCTACCTCCCGAACTCACACCATCCTCCCATCTCCTGAGTTGCTGGGACTACAGACACCTACCTGGCTAATTTTAAAACATTATTGTAGAGAAAGGGTCTCCTTATGTTGCGCAGGCTGGTCTTTAACTCCTGGGCTCAAGTGATCCTCCCGCCTCGGCCTTCCAAAGTGCTGGGATTACAGGCATGCCTGGCCTCTCTTCTTGATTTCTAAGAGCTCTTTGTCTATTACTGAGATGAGCCGTTTATAGTATGTTGTGATGTTTTCTCACAGTTTGTCTTTTTGACTGTTTTCCCGTGCATATTGCATGCATGTGTTTTTGCGAGTCAAGTGTATCCATTTTTTATTGCTTATGGATTTGGGATCATAGGCCTTCCCTACTCCCAGGCTATAATGAGCTCACCCACTTTTGTATCTAGTATTCTTATGGTTTCATTTTCTCTAACATTTGGATCTTTATCCCATTTGGAGTTGATTCTAACGTGTGGGGTAAGGCATGGAATCAATTTTATCTTTTTCCAAGTGACTCTCTACTTCTCTTCATATCATTTATTTAAAAAGTCTATCTTTTCCTAATGAGCTGAGATGGCACTCCCCAGGCCATTATCATTAAAATTCTTGATTTCCACATGTTCTTGGACATGGTCTTCTCTCGTTTCTGTACTCTTCGTGTCCTGCTGGCCATCTGAGTGTTCCCCTGCAGACACACCCTCTCCTCCTCGGGGGTTTCATGACGTCTCCCTCGGCCCATGGTAGGGGCTTCTCACCGCTTTTCTGTTCAGAGGGTTTCCTGGGTGTCTCTGCTTCCTGTTTTTCCACATAGTCTAGAACCAGCTCGGCTGGCTCCAGAAAACATTTGTTTTGGCTCCAGAAAACATTTGTTTATCTTTGAAAATTGAGACTTTGTTAATGTATTCACTTTGAGAAAGCTGACATCTTTATGGATGGTAAATCGTCCTATGCAGAAACAAGGGATGTGGCTCTATCTACTCCAGTTTACATCTTTCCCAGGTGATACTCTTCTAGGACTGTCGCAGCTGTTTCAGAGGTTTCATATGGATTTTGTACATCTGATGTTAGGTTTATTCCCATGTGTTTATCTTTTTCATTGCTTTTATACTTTTTTAAAAAAATTTTATAGACCGAGTCTTGCTCTATTGTCCAGACTGGTCTCAAACTCCTGGCCTCAAGCAGTCCACTCACCTCAGCCTCCCGAAGTGCTGGGATTACAGGCGCGAACCACTGTGCCTGGACAATATAATGGGTGCCTTTCTTCCTTTCTTTTTTTTTTTTTTTTTGACGGAGTCTTAACTCTGTTGCCCAGGCTGGAGTGCAGTGGCGCAATCTCAAGCTCACTGCAACCTCCACCTCCCGGGTTCAAGCCATTCTCCTGCCTCAGCCTCCCGAGTAGCTGGGATTACAGGTGCCCACCACCACGCCTGGCTACTTTTTGTATTTTTAGTAGAGATGAGGTTTCACCATGTTGGCCAGGCTGGTCTTGAACTCCTGACCTCGAGTGATCCACCCGCCCTGGCCTCCCAAAGTGCTGAGATTACAGGTGTGAGCCACCACGCCCAGCCTCTTTCATTCTGTTTTGAACTAAACATTGTTTGCACTGCATGTGGGGGGTTATAATTGGTTGTTGTCAATTTTATATCTTGTTCTTACCAAATACTTTTTCATTTGTATTCTAAGGGTATCTTAGCATGTATTTTATTGGGGTTTCCAGGTGTACTTTGATATTAAACACAAAAAAATCATTTGTCTTTTCCTTAGGGTTGAATGTTTTTTAAAGGTTTGTATTACATACTGCCAAATCTTTTTAAAAATATGGTACCAATTTATACTTCTCTTGTGGCAGTGTTTTGCCATACCCTTGTCAGCACTCAGTATTGATATTTTTAAAAACCTGACAGTTGCCTATGATCTTCATTAAGAGGACATTCACCGTGCCCTTCTCCACACCAGGTGCCCTGCCGAGGACACAGCTGTGGTGAGGACACAGTGGGGAGTCTGCAGATCCCAGCCCCCAGTCCCACTCCAGTTCCCCTCCAGTCCCCATCCCATCCCCACAAGTCTGTGTTCTAGTTGTTTCTTGAGGTTTCCAATGAAGATGGCTGCTGCCCTCTGAGCCCAGCCAATGGGACAAGGCCAGCAGAGAGCCCATCCCTGCCCCTGAGATTCGCTCTGGAAAATCCCCGAGTGGTTATGTAAAATGCATTGCTCCCTGCCCCCCGCCTCAGTAGAACCATGTCACAATAAGCCTTCCAGGTGTCTCGCGGGATCCCCTGCACAGCTCGGGCACTGCCAGCAGCCGCGGCCCCTCGAGCGCTGAATCTGTCCAGGAGCAAGGGGTCAGCCAGGCGCCTTCCAGGGCCAGTCCCAGGCCACCCAGTCCTGGTGTGGCTGAGCACCTATGCCTCTTCCCCATAGCTAAAAACCTGGTAACATGGATGACAAAATGGGTAACACCTCCCTGAAAGTTTCTGCTTTCCTATAAAGCCTAGTCCCGGCCCCAGCCCCGGCCCGAGTCCTCAGGAACAGAACAACCCCAACCACCCGTTTGCAGAGGGCACTGCTGTTTGGCACTGACCCTGCCCTGCCCAGGTTGGCAGCCCTCCAAGGAGGCTGGGCAGGAGGTCCCGGAGGACACGGCCCACAAGGCTCACCCTTTTCATTCTCCATCTTGCCCCATCACCCCCCACCTTGGCGTCCTCCTCCAGGCAGCCCGCCCAGCCCTTTTCCATACACCCCTGTTCCCAGCACTGAAGCTTGCTTGTAGTGTGATCTCAGGCCAATTGCCTTACCTCTCCGGGCTTGTTTCCATCTTCACCTCACAGATAGATGTGAGGAGTGAAAGGGGGAGTATTTGCAGCAGGTCTACACAGTGCGTGGCACAAAGTGGGCTCCAGGAATGTGTGTTCACTGAATAGGAGAGTGAAAGAACGGATGGATTGCGCTGGCAAACCCTCCAGGGGCTGTTCTTCCACTCAGACCATCAGAACCCAGAGATCAGATCCAGGGGCTCCTAAATGCAACCTTTGTTAGAAACACAGCCCCCCCGCCCTGCACTGCTCAGTCCCACCCTAGGGGAGTTTTCAGCCGCACTGAGGATGAGCTCGGTGGGGACCTGACCCAGAGAAAGGGACATTTGGTCACTGGACTCCAGACCGGCCCATCCACAGCCTGGCTGGGCCGGCATCTAGGCCTCGCTTGGCAGTCCCCTCCCGAGAGCTCAGATAGTTTGGCCTCAGGGGAGACAGGGGAAGTGAGAGGGCTGCCTCCCCTCAGCCTGGGAGCTGGGTCCTCAGGAGAGGGAAATTTCCTTCTATTTATTTTCGACGTCCTTGACTTTGAAAGCCAAGCTGGTGTTGATATTTACCTTGGCCAGGCCTCCCGTCTCCCCGGGCCAGCCTCGTGTAAACATGCTGTTCCTTCTCTCAGCTCTGCTAGCACTGAGGTGGCCTTTTGCAACCAGTTCTAGGAATTTTGAAAGTCTGAAGGCGTAGCTTCAGGGACTGGCCCTCCAGGGAGCCCAGGGTGCCAGGGACCCTGAGACCTGCTGTGCTGGCCTTGGGCTCTCTCCCTGGGGGTTCACGCCAAGGACTGCAGGGAATGAATGGGCCTGGGCGCATGCGGGCAGGGTGTCTCTTGCTGGGTCCCTCAGTTCTCCACACAGCCACACTGGGGCCTCCCGCTCCCCAGGTTCACTGCGAGGCTCAGACTCGTTGAGGGACTGTGGCAGGATCTGGCTGTCTCTACTGTCCTGCTCCAGGCCACCTCCACGCTGGCTGGTGGGGAGGGCTTGCTCTTCAGCTCTCTAGTGTGAGTTGGGAGTGTCGGCAGCTGGACTACAGTTAGAGGGAATGTGGAACAGGCACCCAGGGCAGCCTCCTGAGGCAGCACGTGCCCACGCCAGAATCCCTGCCCTCAGGGAGCTTGCCTTCCAGTGGGCAGGTGGACCGCAAGGAGAACAAGCTGGCTTGGGGTGGGGTTGAGTGCTGCAGAAGCCGGGATGAGCAGAGGCTGGCTGGGTCAGGTACAGGCCCCCGAGGTGGATGTGCAGGAGGTGAGCAGAGGACATCCCCAGTGCAAATCCCAGCCCTCCACTGTTGGTTCCACCAGGTGGTTCACGCACTAGTGACGCCTTGGCAAGTCTGAGATTTGGTGTCCTTGTACAGAAATGGGGTGGCAGTCCCTCAGAGACAAGGGAGTGGTTCTGCAGGTGGGAGCTGCCATGACCACTGCGGTTTTAAAGCATCTGTGTGCCTACCACCAGGCAGTGGGACATCTTGGCTGAGCCTCTCCCCTTCTCCACGCAGATCTGGGACATGAGCGACGATGAGACCATCTGAGATGGCCCCGCTGTGAGGCTGACTTCTCCCCGGCCACCTGCTGAGGAGCTCTCCATCACCAGAGCAGGACTGCTGACCCCAGGCTTGGTGATTCTGGTCCCCTCCTCTCCATACCCTGAGGACTGGGACCCCCTCCGCTGCCCAGGAGTGGCCGTGTTCAACGTTGCTCGGGATTCACGATGCCACCAGTTCAGAGCTGAATAATAACCTTGGCTTCGGCCTTGTTATCGACCTGGGACTTGGTCCTCTGCAGTTTTTATTTCTTGTGACAGTGTCTGATAGCCGTCCCTCAGGATCCTTTCCCCTTGGCCCTCAGGGGGTGGCCCAACACAGACCAAATGGGGAGGTGAGCAACCAGCTCCTGTCCAGAGCCACTGCGGGAGGTGGTACCCTCATCCCCAGGATGCCCTGCCAGCCCCACTGCAGGCTTCTCCTGTGAGGGCCCTGGGCATGGCTGAGGGTGGGGCCCTGTGAGCACACTGCAGCCTGGCCCTGGTGGAGCGGGAGGAGGAGAGCCAAGCTGGGTGCGAGACTAAAGGGCCCACATGATCCACTGACCCCCGATTTCCACCACCGACAGAGTGGGCCGCCCAGACATGGCTTTCCTGCCTCCCGGCCTGTCCTCCGCTGTGGGCATAGCATCTGTGCCTGCCTGCCTGCTTGAGGGAAAGGAGTTTCTGTTGCTGCCTTGAGCTGGGGGAAGAGCCCGGGGCAGATCCTGGCAGCTGCCTGGTGAGGTGGAGTCCTCCCTGCCTTTATGAGCACGCCAGGCCCAGAAAGGCGAAGCCTGGGCTGCCTTCCTGGCCCAGCTGAGGGGAGGGGTCAGACAGCGGTAACTCAGGCCAGAGCTGGTGTTCCTCTTTCTTCTGGGTGTGTGCAGCTGTGAGGCCCCAAGAGCAGGGGTTGGAAACCCAGGAGAGGCCACGGCCTGGGTACCTCTGACCACCCTGCCCCATGTAGAAGGCATCATCCCTGGAATGCTGTAGGAACCAGAGGCACTCTTCCTGCTATTTTATTCTTTCAGCTTTCGTCTTAGGCCCAAAAGCAAAGTGAAAATTTGAGTCTGGGCTGACCCTTAACAACAGCAGGATTTAGTAGGGTAGATTTCATATGAGGCATCTCCCAAAGTAGCCAGTCCAAGTTCCGGTGGCTGTCGTTCAGCTCATGGGGGCTTCATGGGGACACAGCCGGCACAGGTGCAGGGCCCAAGTCCGCCCACCCAGCCTGGCGCTGAAACTCACTCGGGGGCTGAAGAGCCACACGTACACTATGTGGTTTAAGAGCACTTTATTATTGTTCTTAAGGCTACTTTTAAGTACAAAAAAAAGATGGCCTGCCAAACCTTTTTTTCTTCTTCCAGGAAAAACAGGCCACAGAGAATGGTATATTACAGATTTACACACGGAGAGACGCTCAGAGCGCACTGCAGGCAGCGTGGCTCTGGCAAGAACTTCACGGAGCCCTTCTTAGAGCGGGGAAGGGGGCTCTTTCTCAGTGAAATGTTTGGTTTTCTGCTGCCCCCTCTGCCCAAGGCCCCTTCCAGGGTACTGCCTATCCCAGATAGGTCAGTGCACCAGGGGACCGGCCACCAGCACCGCCGACCCTCCCAGAGTGACGCCCTTGTTCACTGACAGAGAGACCTGTCCCAGGAGTGTCCTCCACCGAGCCGGTCAGCAGTGGGTTGTTTTCCTGTTACGATGCTCAGTAGCCTGTAGCAATAACAAACTAGTGGCTATGAATGCAGATGCAGTGTTCTCATAGAATAACTGTGTTCCTGCACTTTTACAGACAAATCTACGACAAAAAAAAAGATCAACTTTTTTTTTTCCCAAACAACAACAAAAAATGAATGATTACAATAGGAAAGGGAAAAATTAAATAGCTACATATCATTAACAAATTAATGTTCTTCCAAAAATACCTACAAATTTCTCTGTACATTCTTTACGCACAGCGTAATGATGGTCTTAAAATTACCTATATAAAAAAAGTGTTCTCAACGATTTTTCCTACAGAAAATATAGGGGCCTGAATGCCAAAGCTTGGAAGCCCAGTAGAGTGGGAGTGAAATGTGTGCAGGGCAAGGAGAAGGGCTTTTCTTTCCTCCACTTTTCAAAGGCCTGCAGCCACCCTGTGACTACAAGAGCCAGTCCTCCGACCTTTTCACCCAGTGCCAATTTCCAAAATTCAACAGCCAAACTGTAAAACCAGAGGTCGTGCAGTGTGCAGAGTCCACAAAGCCTTGCAGGTGAGGTGACCACACCCATGTCACCTGGTCAGGTGCCATCGTCGTGAGCCTCTGCTGGGCCAGGCGGAACACAGCACACCCCAGGCGGAGGGGACAGAAACGCTCATTGACCAAAAAGGAGCAGCTGTGACCTCCACAGCTGTGTCTGTCATGCTTGCTTCATCTAATTTCTAGTTAGTAGCTATTAATATAGCAAATAATAAAATGCAGTAATAACAGTATAAAGTCAGAGGAATGTATACTGCCTTGGCCCCAGCGTACGAGGAAGCGTATAAAACACCGTATCACAGATTGTCAGTAATCTGCTGTTCAGCCAAGAGAGTTCAAAGGGAGCAGTTTCTGCATGTAGGGAAGCTGGAAGACACAAACCCCACCTCCCCTGGGAGCTTGTAACAAAGCAGACGGGGATGCAAAAATGCTGTCAGCCGGCAGCAAAACTCCAGCATCCCACACCGCAGCTGACCCACTGCTCATCACGAGGGCCTGCCAGGAGCTGGCCTCCCGCACTGCTTGTGAGTAAAGTGAATATCAAATACAAATCTTAGAGTACAACTGTACCAGCAGTAAGTATATCTAGGACTGTAACTGACAAAAATAAACTAATTCTGAAAAGAAGATAGTAAGTATTAAGGTTTTTGTTTACTGTCTATATAATTAATAGAAACCAGCTATTTTTTCTCCATTAAAACATGCATCACGTTTAAAGCACTATGGAATCCTCCAACCTCAGCTCTAGTCTAACAAACTGCAGTGTTCAGAGAAGGTAAAATGCCCGTGATTGGTAGAGTCTGCAGTCCAGTTGCAAGCACCTGAAATCTAGAGAGAGAAAGACCTATAACCTGTATGAGACTTCCCCTTCCAAAGCTGTATTGTCTAGATTAAAAAAAAAACAAAAACAGTAACAACAACAACAAACACACAAATGGTCAGAAATGTCATCCTTAAACCCTTTGTTTTTCAGCAGTTTGCCCTCAGAGTTCTGGCATCACACATAAAGTTGTCAGGCAACTTTAGTCCTCCTCCAATAGTGCAAATCAGACACGACAGTTCTCTTCAAGTATACACACGCACAACGCACACACACGGACCGAACCAAACACGCCGTGGAAGCTGAGCCACACACACCCCGGTCTCAAGAAGCAAAGGAAAAAGCACAAAGCGTCTGAGTCACCAATTCATCATGGCTTGTGACTGAGAAAGCGCTGTGGAGTCCTGGCCCCGTTGGGGCGGCAGACCTGCATCAGAGGTTTCTTTGGTAACTGAGGCAGGAAGTAAGGATGCTACATTAGACAGATGTTCCACACGTAGTTCCTGCTATCATGTTTGAGGGCCCCCTTGTACGGATACCAAGCAAGTACAAAAACAGAACAAAAATCCCAACAACATGGTTTTTGCGAATAAACCATCCCTTCCCTTCCCCCCACCCCACCCCCATGATTTTTTTTTTTTTTTTTTTTTTTTTAAAGTACTGACTGTTCAAAGCTCAGGCAAACCATGCAGATCCACGTGTTGTTGGAGGAGGCACTCCCTTCAGGAGACCACAGACGGGGAGTGACTGTGGCTGACCATGTGGGCAGAGGGGCTGGCGGACTGGCCCCTGCGAGAGGCGGACTCAGGGCTGCTGGACGCTCCGTCCTTGGCCGCTTTGATCTGGAGCCACGTGTCACCCAGAGCTTTGGCAAAGTGGTCGTCCACGGAGCCCGTGATGGACACAGAGTTGGGTGCTGGCTCGGGCTCCTTGTAATTCTTGCCCAGGCTCCTACGGAAATGCTCCTCCACCACGGGGTCACAGGTGGTGGCGGCTGCAGGCAAGCAGGAAGGCAGTCAGACACAGGTGGCCGCAGACGGGCACGGGTGCAGCCCCCTCCCTCGGGCAGCCCAGAGCTGGACTGGCTGCCACAGTCAGTGTGGGCTCTGCAAACAGAACCCACCTCCCCCGGCTAAGTGAGGCGCTTGGGCAGGTCACTCCTCTGTAAAATGGTGATGCACCGACTGCACTGGGCCAGAGTCCGAGTTCAGAAAGAGAACGTGGCATTCAATTTAACAGTAGCTGCTGCCCTCCCTGAACTAGGGCATGAGATCCTGGAATTGAGGGGGCAGCGTGTTTCTCATGCCCTTCCCACCCAAGCCACACACAACGCTAGGTGCACACTGGACGTGCTCAAAAAATACTTTTTCAACCTCAGCAATAGATGGGCTCAGGGGCGAGGGGTTTCAACCAACAGCATGACAGAGAAGGGCTCTGCTGCTACTAGCACAGCTGTGACAGGTGAGGAGGCCCGGGACACTCACCGCTTGGTGGCCTCCGGTAGCTGGCAGGCCCGGGCGCAGCACAGCCGCTGTGCGCGATGGGGCAGTGCGAGAGGTTGCAGTTGCGGGCGCCAGCCGAGGCACAGGTGATCACGGAGGGCCGGTTCTGCGGGGAAGAGGGGTGTCAGTGTGTGGAGACCCGCCTCAGTACCGGGCACCGCCCCTGGGGCCCTCCCCAGCACCCTTCAGGCTCTGTTCTGGAGCCCTTCCTGACCCCGTGTGCCACCTCCCACTTCAACACTGGAGTCCTGTTGCTAAACACGGCCAATCCACAGAGTGAGTGCAGCTGCAAGGGTGTGTGTAGTGGCCCTTGGTCGTGGCTGTTTGGATCAGTGACAGTACAAAGGACAAAAGCTCAACTGTTGAGTTGGTCTGTCCCCCTCTCTCAGATCTGTTGAGACAAACACCGAGCATCCTGTGGAGGGCAGAGGGTTGCAGGAGGGACCTCACTTCTCCCGGTAACGTCCCCAGAGCCCTTCCCATTGTGTCCACTGAGCCGCGGGTGTGCCTGGAGCCATCCAGGACACTTCAATACATGGCAATTAACTGGAAGCATTTTGCTGGAGCCAAAGCCAGCTCGAGTTGGCTTCAGTGATGACCTACAAATCAGGACAGAGAGGAAATGGAGGAAATACGCCTGAGTGTAGAACGGTACACGTCCCACCCCAGCCGGATCTGCC